AAAAAAAAAAAAAAAAAAAAAAAAAAAAATAAATAAAGAATTTAGGGCTGGACAGTCCAAGTGCCACATAGAATCCTGCCACTGTCAGTCACAGAGGCCAGTGACTGGGTGAAGCATTTGGGCTGGCCTCAGTCATAGGTAGAGACTCTGAGAGATGAACTAATCTTTTTAGGCACTCCCCCGGCCCACCTTGCATGATACACCAACTCAGAATTGATATCAAGGTGGGCATGGGCTTCCCCTACAGCAGAAACAGTGACCATACACCAAGGGTGGAGTTATGGTAAACTTGGACTTAGGGTGCCATCTAGGGGTGAAAAGTGCCACTGACCACAGACCCAGGGAAAAGTATCTGCTTAGAATTACTAGAACAACAGGCACACTACTCAAATTGGGTACCTATTCCTTGAATATGCATATACCAAGGATACCAACAGACATGACAACTCTCAGAGACCCCTGAACTCCCCACAAGGGACAAAAAATGGTGCCATAAAATGAGTAATTAGTATATCGGAACTCTCAAACACAGAATTTAAAATGTTACTGGAAAACAGAAGGAGATAAAATACAGAGAAACAATTCAGTTCTTTAACAAAGGAACTTAGAGAAACTTAAGTAGTTTAAAAAGCAAACAGAAATCCTTGAGTTGAAAAGTATGGTAAATGAGATAAAAATGTGGTAGAAGGCATCCATAGTAAAACAGATCAAAAAGAAGAAAGTATCAGGCTTTGAGAGAATGGCTTAAGATTTTCACAGTATTGAAGGAAAGAGGAAAAAAACCCCACAAAATTAAAAACAAAAACAAAACAAAAAAACAAGCAAAAAACTCCTGCAAACAAGCAATCTGTCCTTCAGAAAAAAAAACAGAAGACTGGGGATGTGGCTCACTGGTAAAAGTGCTTGCCTAGTGGCCATAATCCCCAACCCCCAAAGGGAGTAAGGAGACATTAAGTCATTCCCCAGCAAACAAAAACTGCAAGTATGTATCCTTATCTGTTCTGTCCTATAGGAAACGATAAAAAAGAATTCTTCAAACTGAAATAGATACTAGTAATTTAGAAGAAAACACTGGAAGCTATATAATTCATACTTAAGAGTAACAACACAAATTCAGTACACTGTAATATTATAAACACAGTACATACACCATTCATACCTTTAGTATGAAGAGTAAAAACAATAACTGTGTTAATATGTTCAGTGATAGGACATAAAAAAGTAAAATAGGACATCAAAAACTCAAACTGTAGGGAGGAATGGGTACAATTTTCTTATTTTTTTGCTATCTTTTCCTGTCTTTTTTATCAATTTTAAGTTGCTAGCATTTCAAATTAGCTTGTTGTAATCTAAAGGTGATTTTTATAATGCCTCATGGTAACTAGAAAGCAAAAACATAATAAGACATACCAAACAAATAAAGGAATCAAAACACATTACTAGAGAAAAATCAATTAAATCCTTAAAGTGACTATGAAACAGGGAGAAATGACCAAAGAAGGCAAAAACTCATAAACCCTAGAAAATATTACATAACATCTGTATGAAGAACATATTCTTCAGCAATTATCTTAAATGTCAATGAGTCACATTCTCTAATAAAGAGACAAATAAAGAGAGACAAAGAAGGGCATTATATAATGACAAAGCAGGCAGCTGAACAAGAGGAAATAACAACTGTCAATAATGTGCTCCCGCTAGCAAAACACCTGCATGTATAAAGCAACTATTTATAGACCTAAATGGAAGAACAGATCCAATACAAAAATAGAGCACTTTACCTCCTCATTTTCAGCAACAAACACATCATTCAGACAGAAAATTACACAGAATTAGCAGAGTTAACCTGTAAGTCAGACCAAATGGACCTAAAAGGCATCTATATAACATTCCACCCAACAGCTGTTACTGTAACAAATGTTATTTGCCACTTATTTTATTCACCATAGGTGGATAAGCCCAGAACTCAGTCAGAACTAACTATTCAAGTCTAAGAGTAACTTTGTTCTCAATTAGATTTTACAGATCAGCCAAGATCAGAGAGGAACACTTCTAAGACCAACCATCTTTAGCTGTCTAATGCAAGGTTAGGACAGTTCTGACTTTTAATTCTGTCCTGACTTTTAACTCTCCAGTGTAGGTAAGAGCTGATGCCCTAGGAATCCATAATACTGTATTTAAGAAAATAATGAAGCAACTCTGTGAAAGAATACCTCAAAATAAACAGGTTTTTCAGTGCTATCTTTACTCAAACCTTCATTTCTTTATTGCATGAAGAATCTGAGACTGTTATCTCTGCACTTTTAAATAATAGCTTTAACTTGTGTTCTTGCTTACAGATAAACATACAGTATTTCTCTCACTGTTACATCTTTTCTTTTGTGGTACTGGGCAGTGAACACAAGCTCCACCCCCAGCCATTTTATTTTATCTGTATTTTGAGACAGGACCTCACTGAGTTGCTGAAGCTGAGCTTGAGTTGGTGACCCTCTAGGCTCAGCCTCCAGAGCAGCTGGGCCTACATGGGTGCACCACCACTCCTTGCTTGTTAGTCTCTTTTAGTTGTTTCTGTCTTTTAGCATCTATTCGCCTATTAGACAATTTTTAACTTTTAACCCTTCCCTCTGCTGAGCTGTAGACTCACATGTCTGTCTTTCCACTGAACATCTTTGCCAGAGACGTCTTCAACATGTCCCAGCTAAATTCTTCACTCTTTCAGCTACCTCCTTCATACCTACCTCTTTTGGTCCCTGGCACTAGCCTCCTAACAGTCATGGCCCCTGTTCACAATTTTTTTCTCTTCAGAACTGGAGGTTGAACCCCAGGGCTTCACAATGAATTACACCACAACCCTCTTAATATTTTATTTAGAGACAGGTTCAGTGAGTTGCCAGGGCTGGGCTTGAACTTCTATTTCTCCTGCCTCAGCCCCCATGAGTGCTGGGATTCACAGGTGTGTGACATCATACCCAGAGACTTTATAGCATCATTTTTCTCTGTCATTACCCATACCCGTACACATCATACTCATTCTACCTGTGATACGTGTTTTCTGTCCTTCCCCTGTACTTCATTCTTGGCATAGTATTTCTGTCCTATTATTGGAGGGTTTCTTTGCTTGTCTTGCCTACTATGGCAGGCTATTTGGTTATCTTTAGATTCTAGTTTTAGTAATAATGTCTGATTAATATCTGTATAGAGTTCTGATTATAACCTACCTGGCTCAAATACTTGCAGTGATTTTCATCATTAATTATAGTAAGCAATGATTTAGTCTTTGAGTCCCATGTAGGTGCATAAACTCCTTTTGATAAGCCTATTTCTCACTTTTTCTTAGTCATATTCTATGCAAAGGGTGAAATGGCAATCTATTGTTGGTCATACTGGCCTATGTTTCCCTATGTCTTAGGTAATATCAATCTCTTTAATGAAAATATTTTCTACATGTTTTCTCCTTTTGTAAATACCACCCCATTCAATGTCTCCAGGACAATGGCCATAACTTAATCATCCATATAGACTATAAGTATGATCAAATATTTGATATATAATTGTGTATCATATTTGTGATAAATTCTCCCATGGATTAATTCAAGGAAGCCATTTCACTTTTTACAGTTTTCCTTTCTTCCCTAGATGTCTCTATTCCTTGAATCCCCACAAGCAATTTTTGAAAGTACTCCTCATTAGAATATCTTCTAAAATGCATAACATTCCAGCGTAATATTTCAATATATAGAAAAAGCTAAAAAAAGAATAGAACTGCAATGCTGAAACAAAGGAACACTATTAAAAAGGTCAGAATTTGCTTTCTTGTTAAAAAAGGACAATGGCATTGTGGATAGAGAGAAAAGCAGGGAGGCAGGCACTCAGGCATAAAAGAGCTTGTGCAGGGAATCACAAGTGCTTCTGTACAGCCAAGGTAAAAGCTGGGAGCTGGCAGGAGCCAATGAAGGTAGACTTTGCATATAAAGTATTATAGCTGTTGAATGCTCTGCTAAGAAAGCTAATTATTAACTTGAGAGCACAGAAGCATTAGCTCCTGAACTCATCTTTGCTCTGGATACCTTAGAGACAAAACAAAACAATTTAAAGTTATTTAAATATTCAAAATGTGTGAATTATCTAATACACTATTTTTTAACTCATGGTACACAAAAATGCAGTACCTCTTTTTATTTCATGAGGTAAAGTTTCCACATGGGGCTGGGGATATAGCTCAGCGGCACAAGCACCTGCCTGGCAAGCGCAAGGTCCTGAGTTCAATTCCTGGTACCAAAAAAAAGAAGAAAAGTTTCCACAAATTTATGTGTTTGTAAATAGTATTTCTAAACTCTAGAAGAATATAAAAATTTTAATGCTATTTGCTTTTTTAAGAAATGCTTAAGAGAAAATATATTTTCCTCTGGCTTCCCTGGTAGTACTCATACATTAATGGTGGCTCAGTATGGGCTAATGAGGGCAAAGGTTTAAAGACTCCTATTCCATTTCATTCTACAATGGAATTCTGGCACAAATAATTTTTTATTTATCTTACTTACTTTTTTATTCAATTTCCAATCAAGGAACACATAAAGAACTTACTGTTCAGGAAGATTTTTAACATAGCACTCAGTTTTCTATGCTGTTGGGTAGTCCAAGAAACACTGTCATTAACTTTTAAAATGCATACCTAGGAGTGCAGTGAGTTTTGGAAGAAGTCCAACTTGTACCATCTTATTCCTCAGTCCTGTGTCAAAGGACAGGTTTAGCAAAAGCCGGAGAGTGATATTTAGTAAATCTTCATGCTCACATGGTATGAGTTTTACCAGTTTTTCAACAATATCCATTTCCACCTATGTAAAATAATAAAATGCAGTGAGGTTTTACCGTAAAATAACACAAAAAGAGATTAGAAATAATTATTTTTGTTTTTACACTAATGCATATCTATTTTAAAGATAATTGTGTGGTAACCTTATATTCCCAGTTCATCCCATTTCAATCTACAAACGTTCCTGACATCAAACTTTTGAGGAGAAAATGTCTGTAACAACCTACTTCTACATCATCTCTTCCTTCTCTTATTTGATTACATCAACTGGAAGACAAATTACATTTGACTTTTGAAAATACTGCATTATTGAACACTACCCACACTGTACCAGGCCCTGATGAAACAATATCTCAAGTGGTCTCAAGGATTCTTCAGTCTAAAAATAACTGGACAAATAAAACAAACAATGGAAATATGATAAAAACTGAATACACAAAGTGCTCTATAAGCAAGACAGAAGAAGCTACTAATCTATCCAGAAGAAAAGATTCAAATTAGGAATAGTGTCTTAAACAGAGAGGAAGAAACTGTTCTTTGGTTATAAAGGACAGAGGAAATACAGGTTTGAAGAAGCAGGCAGTAGATGGGCAATTAGGAATAAAAGCCCTGGTGCTTCGGTATGACCACAGTGTAAAGTATGCACTGAACAGTTAAAGAAGCTTAAAGGTAGACCTTAGATAGATCACTGAAGGTTTAGTGCTCTGGTAAGGAGTTTAACATTATCCTATAGGTAGCAGATTGTCCTTAATGATTTTAAGTCTAAGGGATGATATGTTCCTAAGCATGGAATACCCCTGAAATCTAAGTTCCTAGATACCAGCTAGGGCCCACCTTCTAAGAAGGCCTAATTAAGACTAGAAGTGTCAGGCCTTTTTTTTGTTGTGTAATCAACACTGGTAAATGGAAAAACAAGTCTAGGCCAATAAAGGAAAAATTATTCAAACTTTTGTCATGTATAATGTGAGGTTATAGTCAGTGGCTAACTAGAAATCATATAATACTCAGGACAGAAGCTGGGCAACAAGTAACTGTTAACACTTTCAAACAAGGATCAGCAGACCATGGCTAGTGGAAATGTGGCCTGCCGTCTGTTTTCATACAACCCATGAGCTAAGAATGGTTTTTGGCTTTCACTGTTTTTGGTGGGGAGTGCAACACTGGTAATCAAATGCAGGATCTTGTGTGTGGCACCTAGGGAAGATGCCTAGTGAGGTAACTACCACTGATCTACACTCCTAACCCGTTATAGTTAAATGGCTGAAAAAGCAAGGAAAAATGATATATCATGACACATGAAAATTGTGTGATATTAAATTTTCCATAGAGTTTCATCAGAACAGAGCCATGGCCATTAGTTTATAAACTGTTGATAGCTGATTTCATGCTATTATAGCAGAGTTGAGTAGCTGTGATAGAGGCTATATGCCCTGGAAAACCTGAAGTATTGATTATTTAGTCATTACAGAAATGTTTTCTGGTCTCTTCCCTCTGCTTTTGAGATATAAAATTGCATCAAGAGTACTTGTGTTATGAGAAGTTACAGAGGGCACTACCAATTATTAATTTTGTAATGGAAGCCCTACATTCCAATTTTTTAAGATAGCTATCAAAAAAACACAGCTATATCTCATGTTAGCTGCGTGTGGTGACCTGTGCCTATAATCTCAATACTCGAGGACACTGATGTAGGAAGATCACAGGTCTGGCCCCACCTTGGGCAACTCAGCAAAATGTTGTCTCAAAATAAAAGTAGAAAGGGCTAGGTTCAAGCCCCAGTACCTCCAAAATAAAACAAAATAAAACATTAAACAAAATAACAACAAAATATCCCCTCATATCTTTTAGTTATAAACAAATGCTAAATAAAGGGAGAGAAATTCTATACGATGTGTGATTTAAAACTATGGTGAATGTTTAAATTTAAATGTATTACAGTAAAAGACACTCCCATTAGTCCCCCTCAAAATACTCCCCCTCATTTCAAATATGCTTATCCTATCATTCTTGCCACTTTACTGAGCACTTCTGGAAGTCTTCTGTGTCTTTAGTTGTGATGTCAAGGCTGCCTTGGTATGCTGAATTGATTCAAAATGTTTCCCTTTCATGGAGAAGAATCAGAAATCTTATGGTGCCAGATCAGGTGAATAAGGTAAATGAGGACACACCATAATGTTTTTAGGAGTCTGCTTTTCCATTGGATGGCACTCAGCAGCAGCATCCGCTGTATTTTTTATATTATCTCACTAAGGACACAAACAACGACTTCTAGGACGACTTCAGAAAGTGGTAAGAAGGTTGGGTAAATGTGTTTAAAGAAAGGGGACTATGGGGCTGGGGATTTAGCTCAGCGGCAAAGCGCCTGCCTGGCAAGCGCAAGGTCGTGAGTTCAGTTCCTGATACCGGAGAAAAACCAAAAAAAAAAAAAAAAAAAAAAAGAAAGGGGACTATTTTGAAGCAGATTAAAGGCAATGTGTATTTTGCTTCAATAAGTTTTAAAGATTAAAATACATACGATCTTTTTCAACACATTTCATAAGTTCATAGGATTTGGATCATAACAGAGGATTTTTGAATAATTTTGCTTTACTTTTTCTTTCATTGGGGATCTAAAACATACTGTCCTCTTCACATCTTTATTACACTCTTTCACTGACGTCATAAAGATAACATTAATAATTTAGTCCTTACTTTCCTTTTTCTTTTCATTGTCTATCAAGGAATGAACACAAAAGTTTTTTAAAAATGTCAAGCTGACAAAACAACATCCGATTTTTCTTCCAGGCTTCTATGAACACTTCACAACCACATGGTAACCAAACCTTAGAGCTCTTCATTAACAGTACGAAGCAATCTACAAGGACTTCTAAAATTCAAACACAAAACTTAAAAGCTGATTCTAAAATGTAAATGCAGAGATAAAGAAATACGGAGGCTAATTTTGAAAAAGAAAAATATTGGAGGCTTTATATTGTCTAACATCAAGACTGACTATACAACTCGAGTAATCAAGAGAAAGTGACACTAGTAAAAGAAAAGCCCATAGACTAATAGAAGATAGAGTCGAGCAATAAACCACATATATATGGCCAGGTGATTTTCAACAAAAGTACAAAGGCAATTTCAATAAGATGCAAAGGCAATCCCATGGTGAAAGAGGTCTTTTAACAAATAGTGCTGGAACTGGGTTGAAATGGACATCCACATTCAAGACCAAGAACCTTAATCCACATCTTGCACCATCTACAAACTTCACTCAAAATGGAGGGATCACAGACTAAAATAACAAAATTCCCTACAAAACTTCTTGAAGAAAACACAGGAAGAAATAGTTGTGAGCTTCAAATATTTTTAAAATATGACACTAAAAGCAAGGTCCATGAAAAAACTTTTATATCTTGGACTTAAAAATTAAAAACTACTCTTCATAAGACTAGGAGAATGAAAAGACAAGCCACAGAAAAGGAAAAAAAAAATACTTGCAAAACATATAACTGATAAAAGGCTTGTACCTAAAATATAGAAAAAAGTCTTCAAAGATATTAGTAAGAAAATAAGCAAAACAAGCAACACGTATCCTCTTTGTTATTCCTTTTTTTTTCTTTTTTTTGGTGCTGGGGATTAAACCCAGGGTGTTGTGCATATAAGGCAAGAACTCTACCACAGAGCCACATCCCCAGGCCCTATTCTTCTTAAAGTAATGAGGACTTACCTTTTTGTTATATTATAATAATTTACTATGTGAATATAATCATATTATACAAATATTATGATGTGATTCAATTTAAACCACTATTTGAAAGACATTTTTAGGTTTATTATGTTTACTCTAAATGCATGTCTAAAAAACAAGGTCAGTATTAATTCACACCAACAGTACAAAGAACACTTATTAAATAAATAATACAACCTCACAAACAGATTAGCCATCCTACCTTTTACAAAAAAATAAAATAGCCACAAGCTTCAGCTGCTACTAATTATATTAGATGATATTTTTCTTTTAAAAAAGCCATAGCATACATGCATGCTGTTTGTTACAGCAAAATTTAGTAATAAAATAACTTGGAGAGTTTATTAATTTATGTTCCTACCACACAGTATGGAATGTGAAGTTCGTGTCATTAGTCAATCAACACTAGACTTGTTTTTATTTAACACAGCCTACTAGTCATGTCTTTTTGGTTGATTAAAAAGAAAAATTCAACCTCAATAGCTAAATTTAGTAATTTTCTCAATATGCGATAATCTTTCCTCCAATTCTATAAAACACAATTCATAGTTAATTAGTATCTTTATTAAGTCTTTCATGTAAAGTAATAGTTTAGCAATCCTGAGCAAGTTGATTCTAATCTTTAATTGTACTGTTCCTTTTCACTGCTTCTAGAAGTCAACATTTAAAAAATTTTTAATATTTTTTGGACAAGATACATGTCTATATTTTGTACTCTGAATAACTACTATGAAGACAACAATACACAATATATTAATTATTGTAACTCTCCTACTAATGTTTGGAAACTATTTTATTGTTATTTTTAACAATAAAGATCTGAAAAAAATTTGTTAATCTTGCTAAAAATGTGTTAAAATCTAGGTAAGCAAACATGTCTCATTAATTTGGGTGAATTTTTGAGAACCTCAGCTTTTCCTCAATAAAAAATGCTTTGATAAGATGATTTATATCTTCCAAATTTATATAGAAAATAATTATAATAATAATCTTAAGATCTTTTTGACAGAAGGAACATATAAGTGCATTACTTATATACAAAATTAATCTGTGTCTGGTAAATGCTGATGGCAAATAAATATGAATTCTGAGACACCACTAAAGGTGAAATTAATCTCATCACATAAATAGAAGCACATAGATCAACTTACACAAAGGAGAAGCAATTACTTAGCCACACAATCCCTCCTTAGGAATCTCTCTCTCTCTCTCTCTCTTTCTCTCTTACCTCAACATATTATTTGGTGATTATATTGGTCATTATATAAGGTCAAGGAAAAATGTTTTTGATTAATCTCTGTTGGTACATTCAACTTTAAAACAATTTAAAATATGTTCAATATAACTAAATACTAATGGTGAAAATTAAATGTTAAATATATTGAGGTAAAAAAAATTTTCTATAGTCAAGAATCAGAATCCAACAACTTATAAATCTGATAAATCACTGGCAGGTTTTCAATGGGTATATCATGACATTTACTATAACATAAACTACTTCCGAATGTATTTGATTTTAAAGTAAGAAAAATAGTAGCTATAAGTACTATATATTAGACTATTAGTCCACCTGAAAATGAAGCCACTTATACCAATAATGCATAGTCACACACAGTTAATACATATAGTTTTAAAAATGGTCCTTGATGGAGTTAAAGCCCATATATCACTTCTAGGATTACTTTAAGAAAATATTCAGATGTATACTCAAAAATGTATATGTGTAATAAAGTGCCGCTTATAATAGGTAAAATTATAAAACACTGATGTTATCTGAAAACACAGTGTAGTTACTTATATGATCTATTTAGTATGCTACTGAACTAACATAGATGCTTTAATGATGTGGAGAAAAAGCAGATAAAAATATTTCTTTTATCTTTAGAGCTGGGGATGTGACTCAGTGGTAGAGTACTTACCAGCATGTATGAAATCCCTGTGATTCAGTACCCTACACCACCAAAATAAATAATCCCTTCCCTAAAAGGCCTCACATTCTATCTTCATATCATATAGTGGGAAAATATTCTATGCCCAATTTGTATTTCTTAAAGACTATTATATCAGCATAACAGCAACTAGGAGGCTAATGTAATAATTCAAATAAGAAATGAAATCTGAATACAAAGTGCATGAAATAATGAAATGGCACTAATAATGGAAAGAAGGGATAGTTTCTAGAGATATTTAAGGCACAGAATCAAAAGGCTGTAGCTATTAATTGTAATGACGGTGACAAGATTGGAATAAACTGTCATTTCATACATTAATATTGGAAATAAAGGCAGCAAACTAGTTTAGAGAAAAGTAATAGCGTCAGATGACCCTGAAGTACAATTTTAAGATTAATCTACTTTCTATATATAAGATGGAAAGATCAATTATAAATGATATCTTAGAAGATATTTTTATCTAGAAAGTTTCAATTATCTGGAACATTAACTAAAATGGAATGTATTTCCTAACGAAGCCATTTCAGTGATTATTGCTATTATAAAGTCTTCAGAACTGCTGTAATACGAGTATAAAATGTTTATTTTCAAATGAAGATATTCTAGTCAAAAAATGGCTAAAAGTAACTATTTCAAGAAGGAGCTTTCTAAAAAAAAAGGAGCTTTGTGAGCCTGAGGCAGGAGGATTGCTGTGAGTTCAAGGCCAGCCTCGGCTACAAAGTGAGTTCAAGGCCAGCCTGAAGTGCATAGCAAAACCCTGTCTCAAAATAAACAAACAAACAAAAACAAAGAAAAAGGAGCTTTGTAAATTACCATATCATTTTTATTCTCCATAAAAATGCTGAGTTTCTTTAAGAATGTTACAACTAGAATAAGCAGCTCAAAATTGTCCCGATCGAGAGCTTTCACCAACATGTGAACTATATTCTTATTCCTCATCTTCAGTTCTGTACGAGTATCCTCTGCCAGATTCAGAAGCAAATAAAGAGCAACTGGAAAAGTAAAACAGGTGAGTTAAATGACTGGCATATTGAGTCAACAATTTAAAAAATTACTTCTTATTTATCAGGATAACAGAAGAAGTTCTAAAAAGATAATGTATTATTTTGAAAAACTTGCTTAGTAATTAGTTCATTAGAAAACATTAATAGCAAATGATTTATAAAACATATATAAAGTAATATTCTTTTGATGATAAGGACACAGTAACTAAAATAAAAATGATTGCAACTCTTCTGCAGCTCAGTGTTTCATGGAAATCAAATGGCAATTAAAGGATTTAAGTCAGCAACTGATAAAAGAAACAAGGAAAGTAATTTTTGTTCATATAGAAATATAAAACAACTAAAGACTGCTGTGTTAAAAGAGCTATAATCCAAAATACATAGCATAGCCAGAGCTGCATATGAGGATAAAAAAAATCTATTTTTCACAATCAAAATGATTTTCTGTTAGTCACTACAAGAAAAGGCCATTTGAAATTCAGTAATACAACTGCTACACTAAATAAAGTTCAATATCTATTAGTACTACATAGAATTTGTTTTGGATCCCTGTGATGTCATTATTCCTTTCTAAGAATGAAAATTAAGAAACAATTTTCCCTTTTACCTTGATTAGCAGATAGCTTCAGAGTTACATGTAAAAGGTTTCTTTAAAAAATGAAATAAAATAGGTTTCTGTTACTGTACATAGAAATATGTAGGTTTTCAGTGCTTAGTCTTTTTGCTTTCTTATAGCCTTGATGCTACTTACTATTTTTGTACAGCAATTAATGTATTCTTATGAACTACCTCAATCTAAGGCTATGGACACACACAAAAAAAGAGAGACTTAGAAGAAAAAGTATGGTCTCAACAAGGCTGGAAATAATTGCCTCTTTCTATTATACATACAGCATATATACTGCAAGTCTCATTACATATGGGGAAGAGTTCTCAGAAGATTTATCAATTAGCTCTAAATTAGATTCTGCTTATGGCCAGACTAACAAATTAGTAGTTCAACTTGTAAAGGGATCAAATTGTTTCTACATAGTTCAATTGTGCTCCAAAACAAGGCTCAAGAATATATACATATATGAGTAAAAAAATATACAACACTCAAGAATGTAAATTTCATACTGTCTGACAATCAAAGATTATTGTTATGGTTTATAACTAGATGAACATTCAAGGTTATGTAACTATTCCAGATCTTCTAGAAGTTAGGTTAAGAATAAGGAAACAAAAAACAGTCACACTTCCTAACAATGTAAACTAAAACGCCTGATATTATATACTAGATGTTATTACCAGCAGTTTAACAAAGATTGAAGAAATAGGAGTAAGATCAGTGTAAATGGTAATTATACACATGAATAGAAAGATTACTTTTCTATGACTTAAGTATCTTTAAAATAAAATCAACTGCTTACATAAAAGTAACACATTTTAGGGTTTATAAATATAATAAATATTCATAAATAACATAAAAGCAGGGAGAAAAAATGGTTCTAACACTAAACATTAAATGTGATAAAATCATTTCATAGCAGACTTAATTTATATAAATTAATGATGTACACTTGAAGGTAGACAAGCTATCTTTAAAGCTATCTACACTTGAAGGTAGACAAGCTATATATAAATCTTAAAGTAATCAATAACAAAAGACTTATAGTCATGTGAACAGTGAAGATACTACAGAATTTAAAAACCTTCAATCTGCAAGAGAACTCAGTGGAGGAAAAGGCACACATTGAGATCAAGACCCAACCACATACTGTTTGTAAGAAATATCCTTAATATAAAAGCATATAAATTAGAAATAAAAGGATCAACAAATATATACCATGCTAACATTAGTCACAATAAATCTATAGTAGCTATATCATCATCATCATCATCATCAAGATGTAAATTTCAGAACAAGAATATTGCCAAGCATAATGAAGGTTATTTTGTAAAGATAAGGATTGTTACTTAGAATATATTATAACCCTATGTCATTATGTTTTCTTCACAGCTTCAAAATACATGGAACAAAAACAGAACTTAGAAGAAACCAGTAAGTCCACAATTACACTAAAATAATTGTTACTCTCACAATACATAATAGAAAAAGTAGAAAAAAAAAACAACACAGAAGAAAATCACCATCAACCATTTCTCACTGATCTTTATAGAAAATCCTACCTAACAGAATGCACATTCAAGTACACACGCAGTATTTACTAACAAATTCCATATTATAGGCCACAAAACAGATCTCATCAAATTTAGGATTGCAGTCATGTAATGAATTTTGTGATGGTTTAGATCTAAAACATTCCCCTTACATCTCATGTCTTCAGAGGCAAGCTTTTGGAAAGGAAGGTGACTGGATCACGGGAGTAGATTCATTTATTAATGAGCGCTATTAGGAGGTAGAACATAATTTGAAGAGACAGGTCACTGGGGGCATGAGATGGAAGGGTGTGTTTCTGAATTCTCTTTCCTCTCTCTCTCTTTCTCTCTGACATGTCCTTCCACTTTCCTTCAAAATGTCTTTCTACTATGCTATTCTTGCTTCAGAGCCAGCCAATCATGGACTGAATCATCTAAAACCATAAGCTAAAATAAACCTCTCCTCTTTTAATGTGTGCATGTCAGGTATTTTGTCCCAGCAATGGGAAAGTGGCTAATAAATATTTTCTCTAATGATAACAGAATTAAATGAATATTAATAACAAAAAGATCTCTGGAAAATCCCAAATTATATGGAATCAAAATAACTTCCTTTTAGTAACTAGAAGGTCAGGGAAATTGTAAACTATTTCAAACTAAATAAAAAAGAAAACTGGACATATCAAAATCTCTGGGATGCTATCAAATCAGGGCTTAGAGGAAAAGTTATATTGGTAGTGCTATATATCTGTATCAGAAGAGAGGTCTTGGGTGAATGAATTCAGCCTCCACCTTATAAAACAACAAAGTAACAGCAAATTAAAGCCAAAGTAAGCTAAAGAAAGAAAATAACACAGATGAAAGTAGAATCAATAAAACAAAAAAGTATCAATGTACAGAAAATCAATCAATGAAACTATACGGGATGAAATTAATGCTAAATTGCAATCAAAAGTTCATTTTTAAAAAAGTGCTTACAGTAGGAATAGGACATATGAAATACTTAGAGATAAATTGAGCAAAACACATGAGAGAACTGCGGACTGAAAAAAACACAGTATTGGTATAGGGCATTAAAAGACAAAGAATAGCTAAAACAACTGGGGAGGGGTGAAGTACTAAAACCATCTAGTTCAAAATGTTCAATAAGGAGCTTTCTATAATCAAAAAACTGCTACTAGCAACAAACTACAAAAAAGTGATGGACAGAAAAGGATAGAATGTAAACCTAGATATGTACATAAGTGGAGAATGATTTTTGCAATGATAGAAACCAATTCAGTAGACAAGGAATAGTCTTTAAAAAACAGTGCTTGAATAGCCAGATATTCATATGCCAATAGAATAAATGATTTTTATATATCCTCACACCATATAAGAAAAAATTAACACAAAATATATTGTAGACTTAACAGGTATACACTGTAGACTTAAGAGACTTAAGTTTTATACCTTATATCATGAAGGTATAAAACTGGAACAAAACACAGGAGGAAAGTCACCATCACTGTCAGTTAGGAAAGGATTTCCTAGATACAATATCAAACCCATGATCCATAAAACAAATTATCCTTCATAAAATTAAAAATTTTGCTCTTCAAAAGATATCATGAAAGTTAAATGAGAAGCCACAATTAAGAAAGAATCTTTGCAATTCATGTATTTAATAAAGGCTTATAGCCAAAATATAAAACAATCCAAGTTTTACAAATCAGGAGAGGATATAAAAAGACTGTTCAACAAAGACAAAGAAATGACAGATCAGCACATGAAGAGATACTTGACAGGGTATGAAAACTCACATAAAAACCACAAAAACACACCAGTGAATTATTTTAATTAGCTAAAATTAACAAACTGCCACATAGACCATTGACAATGTAAAATGACCGGAACTCTCATTTACTAATAATGGGAACATAAAGTGGTATGATTGCAACTAAAAACCGCTTTGTAGTTTCTTAAAAATTTAAACACCTTTCCAGCTATGCTATCTCTAGCTATTAAACTAAGAGAAATGAAGGTATTTCTTCATAAAAAATTTGCAGACAAAGGTTCACATCAGTAGTGTAACTGTGAAAAACTGGAAATATTCCAAATTATTGTCAACAAGTAAATATAAAGATCTATCATTCAATAAAAAGAAATGAAATAATGACAAATCCAACAACATGGAAGGATCTTTATTCTAAAATAAGACAAACAAAAAGGAATATATAATCTAGGATGTCATTTATATAAAACTCTAGAAAATGCAAACTAACCTGAAGTTATAAAAAGCAGTAGAGTGATTATCTGACAAAAGTGGGGGAAGAGAAAAGGAAGGGAAGGGATAATAAAAATATATGAAGAACTTTGGGAATGATGGACATGTTTACTTTTATTATGGTTCTAGTATTATGGCTACTTACACATGTTAAAATTTACCAAATTATATACTTTAAAACTACCATTGATAGATGTCATCTACCAATTACACTTCAACAAAGCTTTTAAAAATAGCATTAATAATTAAAAAATAAAATGGGGGGAACTTCCAGAAATATGGTGCAGTGGCAAGTAGCACAGAAAGAGCCTCTCTGAGAGTTGCTATCCAGACACTGGAATATAGTAACTCCAGGAAGACAAGTAAGAGGGAAGTGAGTCTCCTGGATCCAAGAAGGATCTGAAGCAAGAATTGTAGCCCATGGAGAGAGTGAAGAGAAACTTCAATGAAGAAGGAGGTACCTGGTGAAGCTCTCCTGAGTGGGGATGGACTGTATGCGAAGAGCATGGGAGGAGCCTGAAGATACACAGTGACTGCTGGTAGCACAGGAGGCCACCCTGGAGACATACAGTGGTGGAGG